TCCGACTCATGGTACGTCAACTATTTTTATTAGTAACTCAAAAAGTAAGCTACAGACAAAATTTTGCCAAATAAAAAGTTGTCTTAGAATTTAGTCAAGAATATGTATTTTCAAGGATAACGGGTTGTTCTGAATCACCCTGTATACATATATTTAAGCACATTCTGCATAACATCCTGCAAACGGCTCTTACTACCCGAAATTTGTTTCATTTATTAGTTCAATAAAAAAAAAAAAAAAAAAGAAGTCAAGAGGTTCTTGAGGAAAGAGCGAGCGAGGAGAAAGCACGTGATGACGATGATGATGCATGCGCGTCGCCCGGTTGCTGCCGATCCGTCGTCCATTACAACACAACATTCCTTTGTTAGAAACCAATTCCTTAGTCAATAAGGCCCCGTCCGTCCGTCCGTTCGTTCGTTCGTGTATGACTCAACGTGGCTGTCGAGTGACTCAGGCACCGAGATTGCCAGCTATGTCCCACCGGCGGCGGACGCGCGGCATCCGAATCCGCATAACCGACATGTGACGCTGTCCACTAAAATTCTCGGAACCCGCCGTTACTTTGTATGTCCGTCGTCGTCGTTGCAAATTTTGTGATGTATCGCAACAATCGAAATTTTCTTTACCGCGCGGCTTCCGAGACGAGACGAAGAAGACGCTCTTCGTCTCTTCTCGACCACGCACGTGTGTGCGAATTATTTTTCGCGAACTCCGGTTTTTCTCTTTGAAATTAACGAAGTTCGCACCCGTGAATAAAAACAGTGCAAAATACTCGCGTAGAATATTTATTAAATCTTCGAGAGAGAGAGAGCTAAAATTTTGATGAAAATCGGTTTACTTGCGCGCACGCGCACACACACGCCGCGATTCTTCGCCGTTTTCACGGAAAGAAAGTTGACGCAGCTTCATGCACCTGCTCGCGCCTTTCCTCATGGCAACCCAAATATTTCCGGCTCACCTTGCGGGCCGAAGAACGCGCGCGGCTTTAAACAAACGGCGCGTCGCGCAGCTGGTTGATTTTCGAGACGATTGTTTGTTTCGCGCGAAACGCGTGTGTCTCTTCTTGCCGCAATCAGTTGCGCGCATCATCGATGATCGCGTGTGTGTCGACCATAATACTCTGATCCAACTATACACAGTGTTTTCCATTATCTAGATAAAATTATCTAGATGTTGATCTAGATGTGATAATTGTTTTATTTTATCTTTATCTAAATAATTAAAATATATGACATCTTTATCCTGTATCTCAGATAAGAAAAGTAGTATCTTTTGTAAATTATCTAAGATAACGAGTACGCTTTCTTAAGAGGGTACTGGATACCGACTATAGAGACCTGTAAATTGACGTTTTAATATTTCGTTTTGTGCCGTATTTACTGCATCAAATCCAAAATGCTTCTACAGAAATAAGTAAATTATGCTGAGAGTTTGCTGTTGTTCTTTGGAATGTCAAAATTCAGCATAAATTTTTTCTTATACAGTTTTCTTCTATAACCTCACCATATCGTCACTCCCTACGTATAATTACATAAGTGTCACATATGGGATTTTCAGTTTATTGTGCATAGTGACACTCAGAAAGTCAAGTTCTTTGTGGTCACCAAGTATTAAAAAAAAATATTCATAAGTATGGTAAAAATTTAAAACCGAAAGATCCCTTAACTAGGGAAACTATATGAAGCTTCAAACTTTTAAACTGCTCTCCTCTAAAATTTGCGTTTTGGAGTTACGGGATTATACGTAGGGAGTGACGATATATTCATGTATATAAAATTATTTCTAAGCTTATGTACGTATTTACACTGAACTACAGCAATACATACGACACAAAACAATCTAATGAAACACTCAGAATATGATTTGATTGTCTAATTGATGCACAAAAAGTAATATTGTGATAATGTGTATTTGATACCATATACTATCATTATGAATGAAAAACAAAGTTCAAAAAAGCATTACATACCCATTTTCAAAAGCTTTATATAGTTTTGTATATTTATTTGCTTCTGTAGAAGCGCTTTTAATGTTGTGCAGTAAATAAAATTAAAAAATAAAGAAATTTAGGTTATAAAAACGTCGGTTTACAGGTCTCTATCCAGTTTACAAGCCGGGCTCCAGTACCCTCTTAATGTGACTTTTCAGTACGGGATAACAAATAATTGTACCTCGAAGAAACAGTTATTATCCGATGATAGCACATTTGAAAAACTATTATTTTCTAGAGATTTTCTTGAGATGTATTATTTTTAATTTCCTAACTTCTTTAATATCTTAAAAATTATCTAGATAAAATTATCTAGATGTTTATCTAGATGTGATAATTGTTTTATTTTATCTTTATCTAAATAATTAAAATATATGACATCTTTATCTGTATCTCAGATAAGAAAAGTAGTATCTTTTGTAAATTATCTAAGATAACGAGTACGCTTTCTGAATGTGACTTTTCAGGATAACAAATAATTGTACCTCGAAGAAACAAGTTTATGTCCGATAGCACATTTGAAAAACTATTATTTTCTATAGATTTTCTTGAGATGCATTATTTAATTTCCTAACTTCTTTAATTGGACCGTTTTTATTTTGAAAGTGGTGTAAGTCCATTTTTGAAAAAAAATTAGATATCACGTAATTCATGCTTAATTTAATGTAAATTTTTTATGTATAACTAGTTTTACGAAACAAAAAAAAATGGACTTACACCACTTTCAAAATAAACGGTCCAATTATCTTAAAATTATCTAGATAAAAATCTCAACTAAATCATCTTTTAACTATAGATATGATCAAATCGGATTATCTTCAGCCTTATCTGAGATACATACGTATATGTTTTATCTAATCTGTATCTAGATTATTTCAAATTATCTAATCGCAACACTGGCTATGCAATATAACAAATTCCACGCTTGACGTTCGTTTAAAAGCAACGGTACAAAAGGCGACATATATATATATATGTGTGGTTTTTTGGTAAAAAATATCACTTTATTCGAGATTTCATTTCGTGAAGATCTCATCGTGCCTATAAAACAAAAGGATTTGAATTAGCGATTATTCAACGTAAATGCTACAATCATCAACATTTGCAGAGAACGCCGCGGCAGATGAAACGATCGGATGTTAATTATTACGCGCGTGTGTGTAGTTTTTTTAATATATATATGGTACATTATACAAATGTGTGTTTTCTCTTTGAGTTGTTCCTTACGCACTCCCTTAACTTAACAAAGATTGTTCTTTTATACACCACACAATCACTTTCTCTCGGGAAGAAGAAGCGACGCCATCCCGTAATGTAAAATCATCATCATCATTTGTACATTCATAGATGTGTTCAGAGATTCACAGCGTAAAACTATTATAGGTTGTAACAATCATTTGTTCTTTTTTTCGTTTTTAAAACTTATTTACGAGGGACGAACGCACACAATCGCGCCTATATCCTTGACGCATTGTTTTTGCATTAACGCGCGTCAAGACGCGCATGTCACACACATCCGTTAGATATTATTTATACATTACACATATATACCCTAAAGCACGTACTTCGCGTGGTACATACTTATTTTTTTTTTATATATGTATATGTAAACATGGAAAAAGTCGTACAAATTTCTAATATAATTTTTACTACGCGCTATGCGCGCACGTACATCTTTTAGAAAAAAAAAAAAAAAAGAAAAATTACATTCCGTGCGAAGAAAAATTTCTCTGACAAGCGTAATACTGTAAACGGATACACAGAACGAAGAAAAGAGCTAAATGGTATATATAAATTTAAAACAATTTTTCATATTTTATTTTTGACGTGTGGAGATTATTTTCACTTTAAAAAAATGTGTGCAATATGTATATATATATATATATATATATATATAAATGTCTTGTAACGTTAATTAAAAGAAACTAAATAGCGAGGATGTGTGATCCGTTGCGATTAAATTACAGCTCCAGGTTTTTTATCCAAGTGTTTAGTCTTCGTTAAAATTATATAAAAAAAAGTGTTCGAAGAGAGTGAAGAGATTTTTATATTATTAATGAGAGACCGTTACAACGCACATTTTTTACACGCCCGAATTGTGACCGTATCGTTTTTTCAAACACAGTCGATTGATCGACAAATCGTCACTCCCTACGTATAAATCCCGTAATTCCAAAACGCAAATTTTAGAGGAGAGCAGAGTTTAAAAGTTTGAAGCTTCATATGGTTCCCCTAGTTAAGGGATCTTTCGGTTTTAAATTTTTACCATACTTGTGAATAATTTTTTTTTTAATACTTGGTGACCACAAAGAACATGACTTTCTGAGTGTCACTATGCAATAAACTGAAAATTCCATATGTGACACTTATGTAACTATACGTAGGGAGTGACGAAATGTCGTTACAGATACTCAATAAAAAAAATTTTATCAATGCCTTTTTTTTTATTTATTGTAATCATTGTCGAAACATTAAGAGACCAAGAGATTTAAAAAAAATATATATAAATATACAAATTTTTTTCTTTAGAGTCAATGCAATGTGGGAACGTCTTACATGTGTGAATGTAAGAACCAAGTCCAAAAAGAAGTAAGTTTACACACGAGTAAATCAAATGTATCCATCGTGGTTTCTGCACGTTTATTATTTATAACGGTCTGTTGGCAAAGTATATAAAAGTTTTGATCGTTTAAAAAACAATTGTGTTCCTAAAGAAGATTATTGTACACCGGTCGAGATTACATTATTAAACTCATATTTGCTTACAAATAATATAAATGGTATCCGTACAGCTCGCAGGTGACAACTGCGTATATATCTCTCGTATAAAAGTGACAAAAGAACTGTTAAAAAAAAATAATAATAATAATCAATCATACAAGGACGTGCAAATACTAATTTTGTTTTAGTATAAATGATAATAACAGTATTTTTATTCTCAGTATACTTTGCGAACAAGATGACAAATAATAATCGTGTCGAATCTTGGAATTTTTTTTTCCAATAGTTTTTTACCGCACTCGATCGTGTCACGACATTTTGCTATTAATATTGTTGTACACAGTCTCTATGATCGAAATTCGTTGGAAGATGTTTTTTTTTTCTTTTAGCAAAAATGCATACTTGTTTTTTTTTTTTTTTGGTTTTTGTTTTTTTGTTTTTTTTTTTTTTGGTTTTTTTTTGAGAGGAGGAAAGGGAGGAGAATTTACTAAATGTAAAATATACATTAAAGCATATCAACGATAAAGGCGCGCGAAATCTCGTAGAGCGTGTGTGACGTCTTTCGGTGAATCTGACCTGTATGGTAGGAAACAAAAAAAAAAAATAAAGAATGTAAATGTTCTCTTCAGATTCGTAAATAAATAAAATGCGTAAAACTGTGTCTATGTCTCTGATAAATACCTTGTGACCGTGCTGTGAAATTCGAGTAGCTGTTCGGGCGTGGCCGTAAGAGCTCCGCCCGCATTTTGCGACGGCATTGTTTTGATAGCTTCTTCCAGCCACTTTGACATTTGCTGATGGAAAAGATATAAAGGATATATATTTATTGTGTACAATTATATACGCGCAAAACTTGTACAAAACGCAAATAACGGATACGAAATCGGATCTTACCTCCGTATCGGTCCGAGTGAGTTCTATGATGACGTCCGCCACATCGGACAACATGTAGGAAGACAACTCAAACACCGCGGCGTGTAGCAACTTTGTGACCAATATCTGACCTTTTCCTTGCAGCATATTTTTTATCAATTGTTGTCGCATCGTGTAATCCGAGCTATCCTAAACGCAAGATAAACATAAAATTTTGTATCTACGATGATGACGACTGTGTACGCGCGTGCGTCGAGATTGCAAAAATCACCTTGTAACTGCGACCGCAATGCAAAAGATCGTAGAAGAATTTCATTACTGAACTATTGGCGTCTCTGTGATCTAAACTGCAAGCTAAAATGGCGCAATCTACTATGCTCCCGATAACAGAAGAATGTAACAAAGGAATAGGAGCCCTCTGAACAAACCTGTACACAAAGAAAGAAACGTCATACAAATATTTCATTAATAAAGAAAGAAAGGTAGTCAATCATTGCGTGATTGAACGCAATATACCTGGCACACAGCCTGAACAGATCGTCGACCGTGTCGGGATGATTTTTCAAACCGTCTTCCTGTTCGAGAAGAGCGAAAGCGGGATAGATGAGAGCTTGCAACATATTCAACAGATTCCATATGCATTCCGAATCGATTGCGCACTCGTCCACCAATATCGAACCGACGTACAAGAAGCAACTGTGTTTGTGCGCCGTGTATAATGGCACGATCTGGAAAAAACAAAAACAAAAACTGGTGACGTACCTATCAAATAAAAACATAGGGGTAAGAGGTACAGTGATTGGCCACTTAAGGAAAACTGCACTATATAGAGTGAATTATAAAATTAAATTTAATAACTTGAAGCAAATCTTCAGTACTGCTAGCTCAAACAAACTATAACAATTGCAAATAAACTAATAAATTTATTAGAAAATTTGAAACATTATTCAAAATTTGATAAAATATTTCCTATAGTCAAAATAGGGGTAAGAGATACAGTGATTGGCCACTTAAGGAAAACTGCACTATATAGAGTGAATTATAAAATTAAATTTAATAACTTGAAGNAAATCTTNAGTACTNCTAGCTCAAACAAACTATAACAATTGCAAATAAACTAATAAATTTATTAGAAAATTTGAAACATTATTCAAAATTTGATAAAATATTTCCTATAGTCAAAATACAGACAGTTATTGGCCATATGAGTTTTGTTAGTATCTGTTTACATAACAGTTATCATAATAAATTTTTTTGTTTTGACTTATGAAAATATAGTAATAAATATTTTCTTTATAACACATTAAAAACTAACAAACCTAATTACATTTGTATCTATAACTCAAAATAAGAGGCCAATGACTGTCATATGGTTTTCACAACCTTAAAAACAGTGATCGGCCAGTTGGTTAATGTTTGTCGTATAACAAATAAGTTTTTGAGCTTCTTAAATACTATAATATTAATCAATCGCTCGTGAAATAGTCAAAATTATTTAAATAAAAGGCCGATACGAGCAGTAAAATACAGGTTGGTCGTGTATAATAAGTTGTCTTTATTCAATAAATATAGACGTTTCGGTCACACAATTTTGGACCTTCTTCAGTATGAAAATTAAGTTTAATTAAGAAACAATATTTTTGTACACTACATCATGTACTGAATCAATTCAGTACACAGTATATCGTTGTAAGTCATTAACATTATTTCATCTATCTGTTAGTGATGTAGTGTACAAAAATATTGTTTCTTAATTAAACTTAATTTTTATACTGAAGAAGGTCCAAAATTGTGTGACCGAAACGTCTATATTTATTGAATAAAGACAACTTATTATACACGACCAACCTGTATTTTACTGCTCGTATCGGCCTTTTATTTAAATAATTTTGACTATAATATTACTTTTATTCGGAGCAAAAAAACTTAATTAATATTAAAATGTTTATAATTTAGAATATAATGATAGTATTTATTTATATTTATTACTTTTTTACTACATGGCCAATTACTGTTGGGAGGCCAATAACTGTACTGTTTACCCCTTTACACGGCAATATCGTTTTCACACTTTCATTAAAAAAAAAAAAAATACCCGTTTTATGATCGGCTCGAGCAAATGGGCGGAGTGTTGGCCCACGCAGCGCACCGCAAAACGTATGCAACGGCAACATCTCTCTATGACTCTCGCGTCCTTTTGATATGTCTCCAAGATGCCGGACAACACTGGCCATACCTGCGCAACAATTTTCGAACGTGCGATCAGAATCAGCGTGTCACGCAAAAAAAAAGGCTTCTCTTATATTTCCGGATGCGATACTCACTTCGGTCAGCACGCTCTGACAAGGGTGAGGTTTATTAATATCATCGATCAGAAGACGAGTGTGCTTGAATATAACGGCTAATCTATCCAGCCAAACCACAGGGTCGATCATCGATCCTCTCTGGTACGGGACTAACTGACGGGAGAGCGTCAACAGGGGACTTCCTTGAAGGTAGCACAATTCTCTCATCGCCGGAGTGAGTTCCTCGTGTGGCAATCTCGCCAGGACTACCGATATTCCTGTCACGACATACACAGCGTTTTTTTTTTTTTTCATTTTATTCTGTTGTCGCGCGCAAAAATAAATAATACAATTCATAAAGTACCTTTCAACAGGCTGACGGCCGCGTCGTTACTAATATCGAAGTCGGTAAGGGAACGTGCTATCTGCAGAAGTCCAGAAAAATGCGACACCATGTACGGACAGGCCGTACATATACTCAGCAGCGCGCCCGAGGCGGCGGTTCCCAAACCTTTTTTACTTAAACACGCCAATAGGAAATTTAACACCGGTTCTGAAATAAAAAATCAAATTACACATTGAAGAACGCCCCGTTGAAAACGATGCGATCAAGCGTTTGACAACGAAGAAACGTTCAATCGGTCCTTACGTAACGACTGCGGATGCTTTTCTATCCATTCGCACAACTCGCCCAACAAGAGAATACTCGTGTAACGCACGGCTATGTGGGTGTTCTCGGGCAGATTGAGAATGGCCTCCACCACTTTCGGAACCACGTCGTTTTCCTCCCTGTTGCACGGAGAGCTTCTCGTTATTTATAATTTTTTAAGTATTTGTTTTACAATATATATATATATACGTATATACGTATATGAAAAGAGACGTACGGTAATATGTTTTTCGCGACCGCCTGCATAACAAAGAGCGCGGCCTCGGTCACGTCCCACGTGGGCGGATCCCGAGGCTGACCGTCCGATCCAGGTCCTTCGGTGAGGGACGAGAACATTTGTCGGAAGCAGTGACTGCTCCCGACCACAAACACAACATCTTTGATCAATTCCGAGACGCGATTTCGGAAGTCGACAAATTCCTCTCCTCCGCCACCTTCCTCCACCAGACCCACCTGTGTCATGATATCACACATCGCATACGAGTCTTAAACATTTGTTTTTCTCGCGAGAAAACACATTGCTACTCTTATCTTGTATAAAAAAAATTATAAACAACAACTTACGTGATCGGGTTCCTTCTGGCAATGTCTGCGGAGGGCGTTGATCAGTCTCTCGATGTGCGGCCGAAACACAGCGGTAAGATCGTCGCTATTTTTGTGGTAAAGTATCTCGGACAGCCGATACCACAGATTAAAAGTTATCTGCGCAACCTTACGACAGATACAACACAATCGTCAAACGTTTTATTTTTAAGGCCGATACGAGCCATTCGCAGGATGTTTGTGCGGAAACTATGCGTGTACATATATACAGGGTGTCTGACAACAAACTATAAAGCCGACGTGTGTAGATAGATTGGGTCAATCTGAGCAGAAAAGTTATTTACCAGTTTGTAAAATTTGCAATAGTTATTGAGATACGAATTAATAAATGTCAGCCAATGAGCGCGCGAGGATCACTGATCGGGGCTCTATAGGTGTGCACGATTGTCAGCTCTACTCCTCGCTCGCCGCGTACCATCAAATAGCGTCCGATCGCAAGAAGCTGAGTCGCGTCGCGCTTGTTTGTTTACTCCGCCTCTTATTGCTAAGACTTATTGCATGAGAAAAGCCATTTTTCTTTCCAGCTGATAATCGTGCACGCCTATAAAGTCTGATCATTGCTCCCGCGCGCTCATTGGCTCACATTTATTAATTCATATCTCAATAACTATTGCGAATTTTGCAAAATGGTATATAACTTTTCTGTTCAGAACGACCCGATCTACTTTACACACGTCGGCTTTATAGTTCGTTGTCAGACACCCTGTATATATATATATATATAAATGTAACGAATTTTACTTGTAAATTTTTGCAAGTATTTTTTGAATTGAAATCTCAATTCTCTTAAAATCATACGGGACGCCAGATTTGCATCTCACATATGGAAAACCCCGGATACCGCCCTAACTAATTTTAAAAATATTGCGAAAAAAACTCCCCGGCCAGGAGTCGAACCTGGGAATCTCCGGCTTTCCGTGCCACAAACATCCTGCGAATGGCTCGCGTATCGCGGCCTTATTTGATTCCTGTTAACAATTTCACGAGCGTCAAGTCGTTTTTTTTATTTTTATTTCAACGACGACAAAATAAGAGAAAAGCAACGATACCTCGTAATCGTGATGACCGACGCAAGTGAGAACGAGATCCAATATCTCGACGGAGTAATGCTTCTTCCCGCCCTCGCAACCGGTTACCATCGTTTCCAGAAAGGCCTCGGCCAATTCGGTGAACATTCGACAGTAATTCACGGATCTGCGATAGTTTTTTAAACAATCAAGGTTTTTTTTTTTTTTGGTTTGCCGCACACGAACGAACTCTACAAACACACCCTAGAGAACTTAGAGAGACTTAAGAGATAATTTTATTTTACTTTTCCATATCCTCGTGCGCAACGGACAAATGATACGGCGGCTCCAGGTTCTTTACGCTCGTGAACAGACAAAGTTGCAACTGCTGCAACTGCACGCTCAGCTCGTTGTCGCGCTTGTCGTTCGTCTCCTCGCCCAGCACTTGCAAGATCACGCAAATGCAATCGGTTGCGGTTTCGTGTAGCTGCGAATTGGCCATGTCGTTGCCCAGTATCTGAAAAATTAAAATTTTTATTACACGTCTCCGTTGGAGAGACAAACCAAAAATTTATTCTCTCTTTTATCCGCAACTTACTTGCAGAGCATAAGCAACCACGTCGCTAGACGGCACGGCTTCGAGCGGTATCGCGTGAACAATTACCCAACTGGTAAAACATCGGAAAATAGTATTTTGGATTTGTATACTATCGCTGTTTCTTGTCAGGCACAATTTCTGCAATTACACTACATATGAAACTGCATATTGAATAACTGACACGTTAAAGATAATATACACGTACACTTTTTTTTTATATTTTTTTTATACACACACACGCAAACAACACGTAAAATAAGAAAAACAGTTGTGTCAGACACAACTTGTGTACGTACTAGAAATTCTATCACATGGTCCGCACAGGCATTGAATTCATTTAGTATATGCTGTCTGTGATTATCCCCCAATCTTCGCAAAAAAAACAGAAATGAACATTTTTGTTTTATTCTCTGTGGACTGTGGCATCCACTTTATGGATTGTGTTGTGAAAAATGGCCGATATTTTAAATAAGATACCTAAGTGATCTTGAATTCACTTCCTCCGGAAGTACCGTCATTATTTCTAGCAGTGCCCATACAGTTGTTGAGTTCGGTCCAAATCTGTTGATTAAGTCAATCACTGGTTTCTGCCAGGAAGGCATTTGCAAGGCCAAATCTGCCAGTGCCAGACACAACTGCAAGAACAACAAACAAGGTTTTGAAATCAATAATCACATTGTTCAAGTAAAAAAAAACAAACAGAGAATTTGTTCGAAAGTTAAATTAAGATCCAAACTACCTGCGTGGCAATGGCAGAATTGGTGTGCTCGTCGATTTGGGATATATGTTCCATCAGCGAACTTCTCAGCGACACATGGGCCTCTTGGGGCAATTCGTGAAAGGATTGTTGGATCTTGGTGCGCATTGTTTGCGCGGCAAAGTAACAGGATTCTATGTTGCGTTTCTCGTGTAACATCTCGTCAGCTATCTTCCACGCGTATACCTGTATACAATAAATACACAATTTTAACAACACAACTCGTCTCCTTTTATTGTGTGAAAACATGACAATTTCACGTCACGCTCTTTTGCATAGTTTTAAAGAAAATTTGCGTGCACATCTTAGTTGCCACTTGAATGAACCTTTGAGGAAATTTTTACTCAACACGAGCCGAGCGTGTGATACGAAAAATTGCTTCGTAAGCAATAATTTTAACATGTCCGCGACGATGACAAATTTATGCAAAATTTAATTTGTTCGCAACCCGATAACGGCTGTTTGTTTTAAAGGTTAAACCCGGTAGTAGCTTTCGCGCACATCCTTGTGTGTTAACGTGTTCGAACGTTTCGCACACGTTTTAGGGAAAAACGTGTCGAATTTTGAGAAAAATCGAAAAATAAATAAAGAAAACAAGCCCTTACCGATTTCTGCAATTCCCCGAGCCATAACGACGCTTTTCCCGACTGAGCCGGATTCGAATTGCTGTACAAAGTGCACACGGCCTCGTAGACCGTTTCCAGGCTCGGCGGCAGATCCATCTCACGTTTTTGTGTTTTTTTTTTTTTTTGTTTTTTTTTTTTCAAGGAAAAAAATAATCCGCTCCTCTCACGAAATCTCCATGCGAAGTCTCCGTTATTTTCCCCCCGGGCCTCTTGATCGCGCGGAGATAGGTAGATGCACTCGTCGCGCGGGCGGCAGTTCCGCTACGGCTCAACGTCGTCGATCGTCTCCCCATCCAAAGAAAAAACTTAACCTCTCTATCCGATCTCTCCTCCGGTTTCCGAAACCGAACGGAGCTGACAAGTGCGGCGGAGGACCCTCCCCCGCGCGAACGCAACGCGCGCAGTTCACAAAAAACGCGATCTCTTCTGGTTCTATATTCAGCTGTCACGCACCCTAAGCGAGGTGTCCTCCCTCGAAACCGATCAAACTCGCATCAAATTCGCGAGATAAAAAAAATCGCAGGTTGTAACACTACGGCGTGCGAGCGCGCGCGCGCGTGCAAGTGTGTGTGTGTGTGCGTGTGCGTGTGTGTGTTTGCTGTGTATTAAATGTAATAAAAAAAAAAAATACACACGTAAGTTTTGTACACGGGGAAAAAGGGGAAGAGAGAAGAAACGAACGCGAACTCTCTCTCTCTCTCGCGTGAAAAAAAATAAGCAGCACCGAAGCTCGACGAGAGAATTAAAAAAAAAAACGTTCTCGCGCGATTTTTTTCGCGACCGAACGAACGAAAACGCGTGCGTATTCGACTCGCGATCTGATAATTCGCTCTCCGGACGGAGAAACGCGGTTTCGAGAGCACGAACTCTCGGATCGCGCGACCGCGGATTCGAGTCGTTTTTTTTTCCGCACAACAAACACATTTAACCGTGTGTGTGTTTATTCGCGTTGATTTTTTTTGTTTTTGGCTCACGGGATTGCTGGTCGTGTGTCAATCTCGAACCCTTTTTTCGCAAAATTAACGTAAGAACGAAAGAGAAATACAATCATAATTTTTATTTTTCCGCTTTCTGACAGTTTCCACATCGGCAACGCAGAGATTTTTTAAATCCCGTTGGCAGTAAACGTGTTGGCAGTTGTCGATGTTCGTCAGATCGATCTGAGAAGAACCTTGGGCGATGCGGCGATTTTCCACGTCCGGACGCGCAGTGAGACGACGAGGATGAATTTTTCCCAGGTGACAGGTGCTAGACGTTAGCTCTCAACGGAGATAAATAAATGAGAAAAAAAAAAACGGGGGATCTCGATCGCACGATGAGTGACTACAAGATACCGATAATCGAGCCGACGATAGATTACGCCAAGGTGTCGATGGGATTTTTTAGAAATTCGTCGGAATTGCACGCGAGACAAAACGTGTGACGGGAAAAATAAATTTGTATTTTTTTTTTTAGGTACCGCCGATCAACCAGAAGCGAACGGTCTCCTTCATCAATCACTTTATCACTCACACAGTCACGTTTTTGAACAAGTTCGCCCTGTCCTGCGAGGAGAGACTGTTCGAGTTCGAGAACAAGTTGCAAAAGTTAGAAGCGTCGCTAGAGATATTGGAATCGCGGGTACGTTTTGCGAGTTTATGTCCCCAAAATGTATATAATAAAAAGTATCTTCTTATTATTCATCTTCAAAGCATTGGAGCACGTGGAGTTTCACATCTTTCAGAATGTTATTGAAGATGTTTTCTTTTGCTACATAGTTGTCTTCTATACCTGGTTTGGATCAAGAAAAAGACAAGGAGACAAATAATGCTGATGAGAACAGCGCAACCAAGTTGGAAGACGCGGAAGTGAGCAAGGTGGAACAGTCGGATAACGATGAGGTAGAGCCTCCTAAAGAGGAGGAAAAGAACGTACAGTCCGCAGATAAAGATCCTCGCTACGAAAAGTACTTTAGGATGTTACACTTTGGAGTACCGAAACAAGCGGTCAAACTGAAGATGGAACAGGAAGGACTGGATGCGTCTATATTGGAGTGAGTGATAATCTTTTTCAAGTTAAAACTTATATATATATAACATATATACAGGGTGATTCAGAACAACCCGTTATCCTTGAAAATACATATTCTTGACTAAATTCTAAGACAACTTTTTATTTGGCAAAATTTTGTCTGAAGCTTACTTTTTGAGTTACTAATAAAAATAGTTGACGTACCATGAGTCGGATTTAAAAGGTAGGCGGGGGCTCAAAAAGTAAGCTTCAGACAAAATTTTGTCAAATAAAAAGTTGTCGTAGAATTTAGACAAGAATATGTATTTTCAAGGATAACGGGTTGTTCTGAATCACCCTGTATATACACACACACAATATTGCTAGTAGTATATATATATATATTGTACATTGTGGAAATATTTAAATAACTTCAGTATTTTCTTTTTTTATTATTATTTCACTAGCAATCCGCAACAGACAGTTCCTATTCCACAGTCGTCGAACAATCAAGGTGAGAATCAAGACGAATAGTTTCTACCAAGAGAGTTCAATATATATTAATTTGTTCGAGGCATGTGTGCGCGCGTTGGACATTTTTCATATTATAAAATACACACAAATCATTGAAATAAAAATATATACTATAATTCCTATACAATAGGATTTATTTTTATTTCTTATTAAATACAGAATGTGTATACGTGTGTGTGTGAAAACGTTCAGGCGGACAACTTAGAACTGAATCATTTGACCCTGAAAATAAAAAACGCATAGCATCTTGTTAGTCGATTCAAAAGCTTTTTCAGCTTGTTTTATATGTGTTTCGGAGAAATTAAAATTTTCTAAATCGCATATCGCAAGTGTTGCAACACTGACCTTCCTCTTTTTGTCGCCACCCAGTTCGAAGTGCTTGCACCTCTTCAGCGGGATTTGCTTTCTGTATTTACATTCCGTGCACTCCATCCTCAACACAATTTTTTTAGTTGTTTTTGCCTGTGACACGTGATAAAATATATTCAATCAAGATAGTATAAATTATTTTAAATCACAAATAAGTAAAAAATCCTCGTGATAAAGTCAAGTAACAAGGTTAAGGCCAATACGAGAAGTACACTGGACGGAAGTGTGTTTAAATCAATATATTTAATAAAACCATACGTTTCGATCCCTGGATTGGATCTTCATCAGTGGTAAAGAACTGAGCAACAAAAAAAATTTTTTACAATAAAATGACAATGTATTTATTTTATTTTATTTATTTTATTGTTATCTCCTTTGTTTGCGAAAAAATCCAAATCAATTGTCATTTTATTGTAAAAAAATTTTTTTTTTGTTGCTCAGTTCTTTACCATTGATGAAGATCCAATCCAGGGATCGAAACGTATGGTTTTATTAAATATATTGATTTAAACACACTTCCATCCAGTGTACTTCTCGTACTGGCCTTAACCTTGTTACATAAATTATTTTGTTCTCGTACGTGCAGATATTTTAGGAATATTTTTATATTAAAAAAAAGCACACACGCATCTCTTCTCTCTTACCTTCTTTCTGAAGATGGGCTTGGTTTGACCGCCGAAACCTTGCTGTTTGCGGTCGTAACGTCTTCTGCCCTGCGAGGCATGTCTCTCCTTGCTTTTTTTGTACTGCGTCACCTTGTGAGTCTTGTGTACCTTGCATTTTTTGCAAAAGGTACGTCTCTGCTTCGGCACGTTAACCTAACAAGAGAACAACTTTGTATGAGTCTTAAAAAAATATTTTTACATCATAATTTTGCTGAACAATAATACAATTTCCACGCGTTCACGCGTGGGTGCGTTTGACCCGAACTCGAGAAAGATTTTTGTTTAAATAAATCGTCGCACGTCTCGATCGGATCAAAACACGCCGCGCGGTAAGGTTATGTCTCTCTCCGTGACCGTTGCGCATCGCGCGATGAAAATATATTCACGAGAAATCGCGCTACCGATTCTCAAACGCAAATCGTCGATTTCGCATCTTCCCTCGCGATAACGATTTTCGAACTATCGACGGATACGAAATTGCGAAAACAAAATTCAACAATTGCAACCTACCATCTTGAGTATCTCGAAAAGGAAAGAGTCGAGCGAACCGGAAACCGACAGCGCGCGCGCGCGCGCGCGCGTGCGCCGTGGAAACCGACGCATGCGCGCACGTTCGCGTATATGTGTTGCAACAAAATTCAGAAACCTTGAATATGATTTTTTTTTCGCACCCGTCCGTGTGCATGAATATTAATACTACGACGATATCATCGTAATATTGTATTACGAGATTCTCCCGATCGTGTGCGAACACAATTTGACGCTAATCGCTGCGAAACGGGAAAAAACAGTCGGTCGACGTTTCGGAACGTTTGTTCGGGTCATCTGGAAAACGCAATTGGATATTTTACGCCATTAAATACAACTGGCGTCAAAATCGGTATATAACACACATATCCCAATCAATAAACGCGATCTCGCATCAAAAAACCCTCTTTGTTCTATTCGCTTATATATATATAAGCGCGTTACGCGCGGGCGAATGAAAATTTGAGAGTTGGGCTAAATTTTCCGACAAATTTCGCCCAACAATATTAACCCGCAAACAATCCTAAAAAAAAAAAATAAGCAACACGTGCGTCTAATTGGCCGGTACGTAGTGCCTCTACATGATGACATGCACATCTGTATGTGATATCGCACTCACACACACACACACACACACACACGTACAGAGACACGCGCACATGTATATATACATATATATATGTATATATATATATATATAACGCTTGGTTTAAAGATGAGAGTCTGGAAAATTTCTTTGTTTCACATTATGCGCAAGTGCTGATACATATCGTTGCGCAATTAAAATAAAGAGAGTTTGCCGAAACAAATTAACAATTCTCCGTAATCTTGTGAAATTGGAATGTACGAAACAAGAAATTAATTAACAAAACGAGCACATTGTTGCTCCGAAGCCGGACGAAAGGTTTTTCGCGAACGGAAATTACACAACCGTCGGTATCTGAAAATCTATAGCGCACGTGACGTGAACTATAGATTTTCAGGAAATATCAGAAGATTTGGCTGAATATTTATATATTTATTATTATTATTTAGGTCGTTCCTGTTAAATGATATTAGAGCACGTACGTTCGAATGAAAAAATATTTCGAACCAGGACTATCTTCGCCCGTCGTCGATTATTTTGTTAATTAGATCGGACCGGATCTCGTTAATTACAGATCAGTCTAATCGATCGGTCGCAATTAACGCTTGATCGATCGTATTAACTTTATCCGATGAAAATTTACGGCCATGATAGAATTTTTCAAGAGTTTTCAAACGCCATGTATATATAGAAATCGAATATATAATTTCGAAGAGAGTCCACGTGCGAGAATCCGTGGCTTCCGAGGCGCGTTTAAATCGAGCGACGTAGCCTCGAACCGGACGGCGCTTTCGGGCCACGAACTCTCGAACCCCTCGTCCTCCGCGAGTTTTAATTTTATTCGCACTCGGAATGAGCTTAACGTGAGCGAAAAATCATCGCTAGATCGTGGATTGTCGCGAGCGATCGTAAAATCGACGATTGCGCGCGTTAAAATCGTTGCAAAACCCAAACCAACGTTGGCCAATCAGAGATTTATCGAGTTTCAAACCCGCGCCATCTTCATTTTTGAACAAAGCCGGGTCGGCGGACGTGGTGCCCTAGGAGCGGAGTCGCGAGAATCCGGTAGTGGTAGGTAGTCCGCTTTACGCTATATTCGCGCCACAGTCGCACGCCACACGCTCCACTCCTGACTGGTTCGCTCTCCCCCCCCTTCCCCCCACCTCTCTCTCACTCTCGATCCTCCCCCCTCTCGTTCTTCTTCTCCCTTCGCGGCCCCTAGGGTCTTCGCCTGACGACGCTCTGCTCTCTCGAGCATTCCGGCGGAAACAGACGTCGCGAAAGGATACTTGCTCGTGGTCCCGTATCGCGTACACGCTCGCAGCCGCCGCCGCCGCCGCCGCCGCCGCCACCGCCGCCGCTGCCGCCGCCGCCGCCGCTGCTGCTCCGTAGCCGCTCTTTCGTATTACCCTTCCGAGGCGAGTTCAGTTCGAGTCGCGTAGCCGAGTTTACCGGGATTATACATCGCGCACGCACGGTCCGTAACAAGACTCGTAACAACCATGAGTACTAAGGAAAACAACGAGGTCGCTGTTGAGAAGGCGACCGAAAACGACAAGGCATCCGCGGACGCTAAATGCGACATCAAAGCCGCGATCAAAAGGCCATCCGGAACGCTTGAGGTAAGTTAACTCCTTCCAAGTTTTTACTCAATCGCCGCGGTCTTGTAGAGAGCCTCCATTTTATATACGGGTCAAATCTTTATTCCTCGCGCTGTTTCCGTCGCGGAAACGGCGGAATGTCGTCGTTGTCGTCGTCGTCGTCGTCGTCGTCATCTTCGTCATCATCGTCATCGTCATCGTCGATACGCCGTCCCAGTTTACATCGGGACGACAATACGATATATATATATATATACGTATATATATATGTATATATATATATATATACACAAGAGAAGCGTGTTCGACGCAAAGCGCGCCACGCCGTACGTGTACGTGTTCACAAACGAATCGGAGACTCCGAGAAAATCTCCGTTTGCGCGTTCCTGTGATTCTCGTGATAATTCGCCCCGCGGCTTTGGGGCTCTCGTGACTCCCGTCGTCAATACGGATTTTCCCGCCCTGCTTCGTCGTCGCGTCTCTCCTCGCCGCTGCGTCTCTCTGTTTCGTTGTGTGTCACAATAGCGAAGAGAGAAGCGCGTCTCGTCCGCGTGGGCTTTTTGTAACCCCCCCGACGGGTTTGTTCGCGCCGACGGCATGGCACACAAGCGGCACCACCACGGCATGGCACACGGGGGCATGGCGTAGTAGCGCGGAAGAAGAGAACAACGCCGCGCCGGCCGGCGTTCCTTCAGCGGGGACCTCCATATTTCCCGAGGAGCGAGTGCGGCACCGAGTGCAGTCGAATGCGCTCGATCGGGACACACGCGCGCGTGCACAGCAGAACCCCAACGTCTCCGTCTGATACGACGCGCGTAGTGCTGTTTTTTTTTCTTTTTTTTTTTTTCTATTATTTTTTTATTGTTTTTTTTTTTGTTCGTTCACAGAAGCGCGTTGAGCGCGCAAACGACGCCATTGTGTGTTTGTGAGAGAGAGAGAGAGAGAGAGAGAGAGAGTAACGAGAGCGCGCGACGACGAGTCTCTCTTTCCTTCTCCCTCTCTCTTTCTGCCCCGTTCACTCGGTACTTGTTCGATGGCCGACGATGATGATAATGATGGCAATGACGACGACTCCTACCGGAATCGGCTATAATTACAACCACGTATTTCGTGATAAAAATTTTCGAGGTAACGCCGCCACAGTCTTGTGTCGTTTTGTAAGAGAGTGGAAGGGCGAGAGAGAGAGAGAGGGAGGGAGGGGAAATGAGAACGATATGATAATAGCAAAGAGAGAGAGAGAGAGAGACAGAGAGTCAAAGATTTCCACCGAAAAGAGAGATTTTTCCGCGCTCGTCGTTCTCACGTTTTTTCGTTCGCGCGTGTATGTGTGTTTCTTTTTCGCGTGTGTCCGGCGGCACAAAGTTGACTCCTCGCGGCTTTTCGGCCATGCGCCATCTGCCGCGCATTGCCGCACGGCTCTTTTTATATATATATATATACATATATACACGTCCGTCGTCTCGTTACGCTCTCGTCGGCATGTGGCTCGCCGCCGATCGCGCGACGCCATTTTTGCGCGTGTCTCGATGTCCAAAGCCTTTGCGATCCGGAAAAGCCGGGCGTCATCCCGCGCATTTTTTCCGATCGAGCCACACTCCGCGGAGCGGTATATTGCCCGTCGTCCGTGTTCGTGTCGGTTTCCATTATGGCGGCCGAAACCAAGCCCGCGTTCATCACGTCTCTCTCTCTTTCTCTGTCGCTCCGTCCTTTTCTCTCTCCCTTTCTCTTTCCGTCACGCTCCCACGCACGCAATATATACACACACGTATACGCGCTCTCTTTTCGCTTCGTAATTGATCGATAATTTGCTATAGCCGAGTTAATACGACGGTCAATCGATTGGAGACCGACGCATATTTATTTCAAGATCGACACGTTGCCCTGAAAATTGTTTATCGACATTTGTTTGTGTGCGCGCAAACACCACACGACGAAGAGACCTTTTCTTCTCTCTCCCTCTCTCGTTTGTCTCTCTCTCTATCTTGCTCCTTTTTCCATCTCTTATACTAGCGCCGATATATAGTGACGACGACGACGACGACGACTCGCTCTTTCTCTTTCTATCCTTTTAGTCGAAGATACCCCACTTGCGCAAAGCTTAGCGGCAACGCCGTGCGTTATATACCGGGTGTACTTCTCTCCTGCCTCCCTGTTCTTTTCGCGGCTCTGGCGATCGCGCGCGCGGGCTACCACGGGCGCGCGCGCGTTAACTATATACGAACCTTCGAGAAAACATCGTTGCGCCGCCGCGATTTTTCATCTTAAATCGCGGCGGCGGCGGTGATGCCGTTCAGGGGCGCGTCGCCGATAGGCGCTTTATTTTTAGCCGATAATTTACCGTGCGAGAATAATCTCTCTGCGCGTTTTCTTACCGCGTTTAAGGCAAAATCTACGGGAAGAACGCCGGCGGAAATCCGAAAACATTCGTTGGACACAACACCACTCGTTCCGTCGCGGCATCTTGGCCGCATCACGTGGTAGGGTATTATCCGAGCACGCACGCACGGCACGCACGCACGATCACCGCGTTCTTATTTATGTCCGCGGGTTAGGCTGTCTTCCCGATTATCAATTCGCTCAATCGCGAGCGAGGAAGACGACGAGAGAGAGAGAGAGAGAGAGAGAGAGAGAGAGAGAGAGAGAGAAATAAAATTTATATTACGCATTACGTGGAAAATCTCCGAAAAGACACGAGAGCGCGCAATGCGTTCAGTAAAAATATCATTCACATGTTGGCAGTGGTTTACACGCTCAACACAAGTGTGCGTGTGTGTGTGTCGTGCCATTACGTGAGGACCAGGGAAAGAAGTGTCTGGAAAAAGAGGGAACGAATAAAAATGAGTTTCCAAGCGTCCTTTTTCCCTTCCCCTTCTCTCTCTGTCTGTCTCTGTCTCTCTTGTTGGCTACGGTGCATATGCGCGATTGGTATCTCGTCAAAGCGGAAAAAGGCGGGAAGCCGCCGACGAGCGAGAGAAACACCGAGACGGCCGGAGGATCATACACGTTTGGATATGTACACGGGAAAAAGAGAGTGTCGCAGCTCGCGTAACTGTCCTTTGAAAATAACCTGCCTGTCGCTCGCTACGAGGGTATCGATACCTCTAGGAGGAGGTTTGTGCGATTCAAGCTTGTTTTGCGGCCGGTGTGCTCCGAGAAAGAGAGAGAGAGAGAGAGAGAAAGATAGATAGATAGAAGGCGGGAAAAGGCGTCGCGTCGATCGGATAACGCCAGTTGTAGATCGATGTGCCGCCAGCCAGAAATAACTTACTGCATTTAATGGTTATCATCAGGGGTCTCATGAGCTTCGAACCTCTCTCTCTCTCTTTCTCGCGCGCATATCTTTCTATCGCCTTGTGCTTATCCGTCTTAATTAGACGCTACGCGACTAATTGATTATTTTTCCCCCCTCCTTATTAAAACGCTCTTGTTATCCAGATAAGAAAGAAGCGATAAAAAAAAAAAAAATCTGTTTCGAAGGCCAAAAAAAAAGAAGGAATCGTTTTTTGGACGATATCACGTTCTCTCGGAGACGCTCGTGATAATCCGCCGATTTGCGCGAGCGTCATGTGTGTGAAGCACAATTACGTAATGGGTGTCTCATTCGCGTCGATCTGACGAAGAAAAAGTTTCTTCCACGAAGACCCCAAGGTTTTAAGCCGATAGGTTGTGGAACATTGGGTTATCTGGCGAGACCTCGTGATGATTGGGAATGAGCGAGATAGGTAATCTCACGCGGGAATAAAGCAGAGTGGCGGCGTCGTTGTCGTCGTCGTCGATCGAATACATGCGCGACTCTGTCAATCGCATCGAGAAAGAAGCCAAGCCGAGAGAGCGGAGCGGCCGATGAATGAGACAAACAAAGAGAGAGAGAGAGAGCTGTGTACGCGTGAATTCGAAGTAACGCGCGCGCGCGTCGGCTCGCGATCGGAAAGAGCACCCGGTCGGTAACCAAATCCCATAGAGTTTTAATCGCAACAGGTCGATTTCACGTTAGAGCCAAGGCGACGATTGCTCCGAGGAAGTGAGAAAAAGAAAGCGGAAAAGTGTTAAAGCAATGAATGAATAAATGTCTTCCTCCGTAGGACGGACGGACACTTTTTTGACCATCATGGAAGCAAAATTGCCGCGCGCTTGTGTGCTCGGCCCCGCTTTTATTTCCGCTAGTATTTATTGTTACTTGATCGCCGATATTGATTACGGCCTCGACGCGATCGGTTGTCGTCGGGGAGCGGTGTTCCTCAAACCGCGGTGAAAATTTCCCTTCTCTCGATTGTGTGTGTTCCGATGAACGCCACGTGATTATCGGTCGTCGCGCGAATGGTCGAGTCTCTCTTTATAGTTTAGATTTGTACTCTCTTATTCCGAAAGGCTTCGCGTTGCACGACACTTGGCACGCCGCTTCGGTATCTTCCTCCCTTATCTTCCCCCTACGGGGAAGTCCCCCTCTCTCTCTCTCTCTCTTCCCCGGGTTTCTGTCTTTCTCTGTGAATTGTACGCAGCGCGAATGCGTTTCTCCCCCCCCCCCCGCCAACGTGTGCGGCTCCGTCATCTGCCAATCACCGCGTTCGTCCCACCGCGTGTCGCCGGTCCGCGCCGCTTCCGATTGGCCGATGTGGCTTTGCGCGCGCGCATCCAAAGCTGGCTCTTGTGCAGCTCTCTCTCTCTCTCGTGATCGTCCGTCGCCGATACCGCGCGCGCGGCGCGTGTACGATTACGCCAGGCAGCTGCCGCCGCTACACACCACCCGCCACCACCACCACCACCATGATGATCGGGGCCAACAACGCCGTATGGCCGTGCGGAGGAGAGTCCGGCGTTACCGACGTGGTTCTTCTTTCTCGTCACCCGTTTGAAGCTTGGTGACGCCGGGAACGCGCAACATTTTTTGAATGTCACTCTCTCTACAATCCAATGGTTGAAGAGCGTCTCTCCACTTTACGGAAACAAACTCCGCTTCTGTGTGTGTGGCGCGCACGATAGATTTTCCCTCGCAATCTTCCCCCGGAAGATCGCGAAAACGACGAATTTTGCCGCCCACTTCTCTCCCCCATTCCGAAATCGATAAACTATATATGACGCTTGTTGTGCGTTAAGACCGATTACATTAACGGACCATTGGGGACTGGGATCAAGGGCATATATATAGATTGTACAACTCTCTCGCGAGAATTAAGGTTGCGCGCGTAGAAGGTGGGCGCGTTCGTTAGAATTCCCGCGTCAATCGTTTCTATCGACTGAGCTTCTTCGTAGTTTTTTTTTTTTTTTTCTTATACAATGTGTACAAAACTCGTTCCACTCTCTTATCCACCGAACCCCCCCCCCCCGCAAGCTCGACGACAACATTATGTAGTACGTACTTGAGAACACAAACTGTATGTGTGTACCGAGAACTTGGCTAAATTAAACATTTTTATCGGTCAAGTTGGCGGTAGGATTCTACTACCTGTTCTTCGTGATTTTGGCACCGCTGGTTCGGGTAGACGCGCGCGGGGGTTCCCTCCGCCATTTCCCTTTTCCCTGTCCCACACACCGTATTTTAGCGGGGCGGGGGGGTAGGGAAAGTCCCCACCACTTCCTCTCTCATCACCTTTTCTCGCCACCGTATTTCTTGGCGGGAAGGGATCTCGTCCTCTTCCCGCCGAGGTCTCAAACACGCTTTTCTCTCTCTGTCCTTGTTACAGTCGTCTCCCCCCGCCGCTGCCGGCGGCGCTGAATTTTCTTTCTTTCTCTTCTCGTGCTTTTTGATGCTTAAAAAAAAGGGGGGGGCATCCCTCTTCGGTTGACTCGGAATGGATGCAATGCCGAATGTAAATTTGTGCTCTTTGTAGAAACACACACGTAGTTGACAATAAATGCAACGTATTTATAAAACCATTTGGAAAACCCGGGTCTAAAATTCAAGTTTTTTTTTTATAGGAAAAAGTTGACGAACCAAAAAAAGCGAAGAAAGAGGAGAACGGGGATGGTGAGGTAGAAGAAGAAGAAATTGAAGAGGAGATCGAGGAAGAGGAAGAGGCGGATGGTGATGGAGAAGAAGACGATGAGGACGACGATATTCCAGAAGGAGAGGAGGACTTGGAAGAAGGAGAAGGTAGATGAAGCGATTTTTCAAATTGCTTTTTTTTTTTTTTTTCTTCTTTTTAATTTCTCCGAACGAGAGAACATTCGTTGCAACGTTTGTTACGCTATTGCAGACGAGGAAGATGACGATGCGGAAGGTGAAGTAGAAGGTGAAGACGAAGAGGAAGACGCATAATAAAAGAAGGGGGAGAAATATGTAACTAAGGGAGGCGTTAGGCACGTGACGACATCCATCGTCAATTTTCGGAAAACTCAGCGAACTTACTCTCATATTGAGTGGTTGGTAACAAGTGTTGAATATCCATCGTGCCCGAATCCGCGTTTGCTGGATTTAACAATTCAGTACAGTTACTATCCTCTCTCTTCCGACCTACTAAAAATTACCATCTCACCAGAATTGTGGTGGGCTGATACATACATTAGGTGCGGAAAGATGCATTTTTTCACCCTTTGTCTTGGCTCTTCGCAATTCTGGTTCGTCTTAGCCGCCACCAAATGCTGTTAGGTAGTTTGAATGATAACCATACATTCGTCCTGCGGACTCTCCAAATAGGTTGATCCTACAATTGGCAAAAAAAAAAAATCTGAATTCTCTCTCGTGTTTGGATCGTTTATATTTCATTCGCACGATTCCCAAGACGAATTTATTGTTTTATCCGAACCACCTAAGTATAACTGGTATTTGCCATCTGGCTTTTTCGTCTTAAAAATTTTATAACGAAAACTTATTTAAGATATAAAAAAAAAAAAACTTATATATTTAAATAGTGTAAAATTTGAAGGTGATTTTTTTACATTTAAAAATCAAATTTACGTTTGTAGTTCGACGAATGTCTCTCACCTTGTACGTGTGATATCTTGAGTTCTTCTTCTCGAATTGAAAACAAAAAAAAAAAAAACAAAAATAAAAAAAAAAATGTGTAATTGCAGTGTCTTCACAGGAGCGCGAGGCCTGAATCAGAACAGAATTAAAAAAACAATTCATACGTAACAATATAACGGCGTATAAATAAAGTAAAATAGGGCATGTGAATGGACATCTCTCGGCATTCAATGTACGTTTAAAAAAAAAAAAGAAAAAACCAATGAAATTAAAAAAAAAAAGAAAAGAGAATATATAATAGATGTAATACCGCTTCGTGCTCCTGTTTTGGTATAGTGACAGGAATTAAGATTTAATGCAAACGTTCGCGTCAGGTAGTGTGGATGAGTAATGTGACTAATACCGCATAATAAGTATACATAGTATGTATAAAGTTACAAGATAAGAAAACATTTTATTATTAACGATACTATTATGTAACGTAAATATAATGCAGAGAGGTTGTTTAGGCTTGGGGAATAGATAAGGGGAACGGGGAGCATTAAATAGTCAACTTGTGAAGTTTAAGGGCCCCATTAAAAAAAAAAAAAAAAAAAAGAAACCCTTCTCGATTCTTTTCAATTGTATCATTTCTTTTCGTAGACCATAAGAATTTTACGTTTAATCTTGGAGATATATATATATATATACATATATATACATACGTTTCTTTTTTTGATAACTCCAAAACTGCCGTATATGACGCGAAATTACAAAAGAAAAAAAAAAAGAAATTCATAAATTTATAAATTGCGACGAATTATGTAATAAGTACTTTTCAAACTGTTGTTCTCTCAATTGAGCGTAAAATCGAGCGATTATCTTTTTATGTATATCGTGTTTTTATCTTCATTGTGGGCTACTTGTAGCAATGATTCTTTGGCTATCGCAGAATGAGTTGATAATTTATTCTAATTTCTGTGTACGTAGCAATCTTTAAATGATAATTGAATTATTTACTAGTTGGATTTAGTATCAGATTTTTAATCCTTAATGACATTTAATAATAATAACGATGATGATAATGATGATGATGATGATGATGATGATGATGATGATGATGATGATCCACGGATCTGAATTAAATAAAGCAACAGACTCTTTGTGCAAGAGTCGGTGAATCATTGCGATTGGCATGTCCATACCGCTACTTATTTTTCGGGAGACTGTTAGATAAAAGGGTGACGAGACATTGCGGTTATACCATTGTACCATAGCAGCATAATAAATAAAGGTAAAGCTAATTTGACTGCGGAAAGATGTCCCGTTTTAATGTACAAATATTTTCGAATGAGATAGTTAAATAAAACGCAGTTAGATCAGAGAAAATAAATTCGTTCTCGTAAGTAGTAGAAGATGGGTTTAAATGTCTGAGGATTATAATGAGGAGGAGATGGCAGTGTGTGTGTAAAAGGCTGCTCCGTTCTCACGTACTAAAATCCTACTAAATGGAAACCAAGGAGATGGGCGGGGAAAGGGGGAAAGAGTTGGACCGCTTGACACATTGATACTTATGAAAAAAAAAAAAAAAAAATCTTTTCAGTACCATCAAATTTGTCGGTGTATAAAAATGGAAAATATTCTATAATGTAATGCGTCCAACAAAGACAGCCAATCGATGTCAAATGTGATGATGATGATGGTAATGATAATGATGATGATGATGATGATGATGATGCATATAGATTGATGACACACCATCTCCGGCAGTCTCTGTTAATCTACGGTTTTATACGCAATCCGCTGCTATATTCACACGTGTTCACTTCAAGATAGTAACTTGACGATGAGACAAAGTTGACAAAGAACTATCTTAAAGTACAGGTGCCTGAAACAAAAAAAAACAAAAAAAAAAAAATCGGTACTCTAGCGTTCATAGCATTACTACATTATACATATAAGAGCATAGGTCCATTTAATTTTATTGAATATACACAAAATGCCCCGAGCCCCGTTGGCAACGCTCATGAGTTTCCATGAAGAAAGACTTGCGTTTTGTACTTCGCCAAAGCCCAAGGTGGAGTGACGATGTGCTCTTCCTCGTGCTCGAGTACTTGACACGATTCGGATAATTCAAGTTGCTGATGCTAACGGGTCTTTTACAATCAATCAGGCTGATCGCCCACATACCGTTACATCCCCCTACGTTCGTTAGGTAAGCATAAAAAAAACAAAAAAAAAAAAAGAAGTTTAAGATATAAAANAAAANAANAAAANAAAAAAAAAAAAAAAAANAAANAAATCTGGTAAACAAAAAATGACATGTGTTTCACACACGAGTACACGTTATAAACAAAACATCCTAGGCTAAGAGAATTTGGTTTGTGTGTTCATAAGTCTTGTTCAAGCTACTTTTGTACAGGATAACCATCGCATCTCATCTATTTCAACGTAAAAACAAAACAAAAAAAACAAAAAAACGGTAACCGACACACCACAAACTATATATTTCTTCATTCCATCAGAACTGAAACTTTCATTGTATTTTTAAGTAAATACATTTTGAAAAACAACATCAATGTTTTTTTATTCTTCACATGTAAGTATGTGAAGCGAAATATTTCTTCCCCGTTCACACGTTATATATATATATCGTAAATATATATATATATATAAAAAATATATATATATATATATAATGAATATAATTGCATAATGTATTGCCACCTCTTTGCGAATACATTTGTGCAATCTGCGGACGCACGTCTGAAAGAAGAAGATTGTAAAGTATGTAGTATTTATATATGAGAATTATATAAACGCCCTGTACATGTAATGTGTAAGCTATACATTTTTTACGTGAAATTAATCCGAGCGTTCACTGCCGACTTTTTCATGCTAAGCATAGGGAGACTTATACCACTTATCGATCGATGTTATGTAAATATATAATCATAACTGTAAATATGCACTTCCGTTGTATCTTTCTCTTTTAAAACAGGATGTTGACTGCTCGCAGAGCGTCACAAGAAACGCTAAACAAAGGATATATAAATGCGTATCGTTTTACTAGTTTTTATTTTCTACTGTGCATGAAGTTCCATCCTGAGGTCTTGTCTATACAATATCTACACATCAGAAGACTATTTATATATATATATATATATATGTGTGTACATATATATATATACACACACACAGATATTATGCATGAACACGTATACTGTATACGTAACAATAAAAAGTTTACACAAAATATATATATATAATTGTTAAAAGCCAAACACCTTATATACATATATATATTTATAACAAGATTTTTATTTACACATGGGTATATGGCAGATTATAAAGTATAGGTTTCCTTAGATTGTAAGACGCAAAACAAAAATTGTTCTCTGTAACATATTCTGTGCACAATATGATATACAATAAATTATTTGAGGTCTGTAAAAATACATATATATATTTATATTAAAACAAATGTCATATAACAATTTATATTTGCAACAATAATGTGAAGTCCGTTAAATAAAAATGTTACTTGTATATATAATAATATGGTAACAACAGATTTTGTTCATCAATGAATATTATTTGGTAGATTTTATATATATATATATGTTTTTCGTCTTTTTCTTACGTGTACTTAAGTAAGAAATTTTTGAAGACAAATACATATGAGAAATATACCTGGACGGAACATACGATTAAACTTTTGAGTACGTCAACAACAAGTTTTTAATATCTTTAATACGTTTGTTTTTCAAATAAACGTCATCCCTACAGAAACAATCTAATATATATATATATATATATTATGCAAATATATATATATAAATTATGCAAATATACAACTATACTATATTCTGTCAAAACATGACTGTGCAAACAATAAAAATAACAAGCGTTAGAAAATTGTATATAACAAAGTGCACATAAAAATTATTCAACTCTGATATGTACACACGGTATTGCCTGCAGACTCACTTTTCTCGCAGAGAATTTGAAGATGCAGTTTCTTCGGATTGCACAGAATAGACATTTCTCTAAAAAAAAATATATATATATGATCTATATATATACGCACAGAAAAAAAAAAAAAAAAAAAAAAATACAAAGTAAAAACTTCGATCACAGTCACGTACGAGTGTATAAAGTTCATTTCGAATCGCACTAAAAGAAAAAAAAAAAAAAAAAAACGGCGCTTCAAGCTGTGATCAAAACAAGAGTTAAATGTCAGCTTCGTCATATATATCTGATCACACACAAACGATTATTATGAGAATTGATGTAAATGTGCGTTGCGTAATTACGTGATACATTATATAAGCTAAGTAAAATATCAAGATCCCATAATAGAGTTCCGTTTCCGGTGGCGATTAAATAGCAGATATCAACATCCCATAGCTTTGTTTCCACCGACGCTTGTTGAGCAAGCGTGCGCCCATACATACATACACACATACATATATACACGCATACAAATCAATACAGAAATTTAAAAGAGTATTCTTTTTAACTTGTGTACACACACACACACACACACTCATCACACACACGTTGAGATGACGCATCACGCGTACAATATATAAGCACACGCGTGTGTACAAAGGAATACACGTACAAAGGTAATAGTAAATCGAGCTTTCTGGTTAAAAATTAAATTCAAATATGTTGTTGTTTTTAATAATCTTCTATTTTTTGTTTTGTGATTTGAAAAACTCAATCTTGTTCGAGGCAGTGAAGAGAGCAGTTATCACACGATGTACACGGGTTTAGACAGTTACACAGTTGAGATCTGTGTCTCTTCGCTGTAGACCAATTTAACAACAAAGTAGGTAGGTAGGTTCTTCAATTCACTCGTCGTTTTGCCGAGGTGGGAATATTTTATTCAAAGCGGATAGTTCCTGGTTTATCCACGTAATGCGCTCGGTCATGCTGTTTCTCTCTTCGTTATTGCTCGCATCGACCTAAAAAGTCAGCAAACATTTAATTTTGTAAATTGTAACATATGAGCAAACTTGTGCGCGCGCACAAATCACTTTTTCTCGTATACACTCACTTGTATAGAATCAGAGATGGATAATCCGGTTGAAAGATTTGCGGACAAATTCGCTCCGAAATCCGCGAGAAGTTCCGCGGAATTCCAGTCGAAGTTAAACTGCTGATTGTCCATGTCTAACAGAGACGGTGCGGGGTCTGAAACATCATTTATACATTCAAGTGTTGAATATCAGTAAGAATAAAAAATCAGAGTTTTTTTCAAACAAAATTAAAACTTACAAAATAACGAGAAAAATTTCCTTTCCGATTGTTACTAATCAGAAAAAAGATAACTCCAGATATTCGAAATATAAAAAATATAGAAAGGCAGTTGGAGTTCAAAAGCACAATTGTTGTTGTGTATGGATATAATAATGATGTTCTTTATTTGATAGTTTATAAAGTTGACGTTTCGACCATGGTTTTTGATAAAGACTAAAAACCATGGTCGAAACGTCAACTTTATAAACTATCAAATAAAGAACATCATTATTATATCCATACACAACAACAACTGTGCTTTTGAACTCCAACTGCCTTTCTATATTTTTTATATTTAAAATTAAAACTTGTTTAAGAACCTACCAGTGTTGTTTACTGGCTGCAACGGTTCTCTCTGACTTTCCGGTGTAACTCGATGCAACATCAATAAATTTGATTCTAGCTGCAATTGTGACGGTTCCGGTTGCAAATTGTACGAGAACGATTGAACATCCGCCTGTGCCGGCGGTATGGTTGATTGTTGCATCATCGGTTGGATGATGTTTGGCTGATATTGTTGCTGCACGAGAGGCGGGTTGTAAGTACTGTATTCCATGGGAGACGGTGTTCGTCCGGGAGATACCTGAGGTCTGAAACAATTGTGGAACGGTCAATGCCCAAGCTCTGCTCTACACTTGGTTCTGTTAAAAAAAAGTTCTGTTTTTTTACAATTGAACCTTTCAACAAGTGAACTCTTATAATGTACCTAAGAGTCTGCATGTTGGGGTGCGTTTGTTGTCTCATGGACTGCAAGGTGAAACCTCCGGTACTTGTGCTCGGACATCCGTAAGGCGATATCCGGCCGGTTGGCTCAGCTTTGACGATGTTGAAGTTGATAGGCGACTTCGTAGAATCTATAACAACGGCAATATGTAGACAAGCAGACGTAAACACGTAACAATAAAACAAAACAAAAACTAAAAATGGGACAAAGTTTCCCGCATTATGACAAAGAGATGCTGGTGTGAGAATCATGCGAAAGAAACATGCAGTAGAGAAAGTTCTCGATGAAGAAGCGTGAGTTCCTGCTCCGCATGCAACTGAACGTGTGTGTTTGTTGTAAAAAACTAATCGGAAAAAAAATCGCACAAAAATTATTCTCTACACTATCTACAACACATCACACTTCTCCGGTCTCTCTAAGGATTATCAAAAAAATTATTTGCACACTACATTAACATCATCATATATCGTACCTGAGTGTCTGACGTGATCAACGAATACTTTGTTTTTTTTTGTTTTTTTTTGTTTTTTTAATCTGAAATTGATATGTGTGGGAGCAGAGAAAATAAAAAACACTCGTTTTTTTGTTTTTTCATCATCAAATAACTAAACATGTGTACGTATTATTCTTTCAAATTATTTTGGATATATTACACCATAATTCGTACAATATGTAAATATATGTATGTATGTATATATATATTTGTCTGTTCACGCGCGCGAAAGCAGTTTTTATAAAAATTGTACGATCATATACAAATATAATATTGCACATCGGTATTGATTGTACCACGCTATAAATTGCACAGTACACGCACACGTTGCTGTGTCTCTCTCTCTCTCTCTCAAAATATACCATTTGCCACAAGAGCGGAGCGCGCTTGCATCTTACAAAAATTTGAGCTGCAACCATTATTTGTTTAACTACAAATATACGTTTTACTCTTATGTGTGTTTGTGTGTGTGTGTGTGTGTGCGCGTAAAGAGAAAAGTATTACTATTATACGGAGCGAAGTTTCACTTTGATAAAAAAAAAGATCTCGAGATGTATATTGCGTGTATTGTTTACTCTTCTCGACATCTCATTATATATATATATCGTGTATATATATATATATATTATCCGTAAAGAAATAT